TTTTTTTTTTTTTAATTACTTTGTTTGAATTGTTTTTTTTTCTTTTAAATATTGGCACCTGAGCTAACATCTGTTGCCAGTCTTCTTTTTTTTTTCTTCTCCCCAGAGCCCCCAGTACATAGTTGTATATTCTAGTTGTAGGTCCTTCTGGCTGTGCTCTGTGGGACACCACTTCAGCATGGCCTGATGAGTGGTGCCATGTCCACTCCCAGGATCCAAACCGGCGAAACCCTGGGCCACCAAAGCGGAGTGCACAGACTTAACCACTCGGCCATGGGGCCGGCTCCCTGCACTAAAATTCTCACTGATGAATGTTGAATAAATGTAAAAAAGCAAAGGTTTCAGAGAAAGTAAAAAAAACCTCTAAAATGACAATAGAAATATGTTACGATTGCTAGTATCAGTTTTACCTGATACTCCTACTGCATTTAAAAACAACCTAATTGTACATTGCCCTGTGAAAATAAAAGGATAAAATAAGATTTTATAAACAGCATAAAAATACAGTTCTATATTTTTATGTGTTCATCAAGGAGTAAAATGTTCTGCTTTTGTAAATTATACAAGTAACTGAAGTGTTACTCCTTTAAAGGGCAAAATAATTTGTGACCATGTTTGGTGGAATATTTCTAAGTATTTATTACATACCTGGGGGTTAGCCAACAGGACATACTGAGCATAAAAACACGTAAGCTTCATAAAAGGTTAAAATATGAACATACTTGCTCGCACTGTGGGGATTATACCTCACTACCCGGAGTGTGGCTCAACCAGCATCACTGGCCTGCCCTGGAAGCTTGTTAGAAATGCAGGGTCTTGGCTCCTGCTGCAGCCCCGCTGGCCCAGTCTGCATGTTACTGAGACCCCCAGGGATTAGAACAGCCTTGACAGTTTGGGACGCGCTGGACTAATGTACTAATGTGCTCAGGGCAGCCGAGGTTTCTGGACCCCTTCACTAGCGTCCTTGGATAAGTGTCTTTCTAGTTGGCGTTACAAGTCGCCTCTGCTGTGTCAGTCGGTACTGACTGCAACTCCCCCTTCCACATTGCCAAAGAAAGAGGAACCAAATCCCCAGGGGGACCACAAATAGTCCTGCTAAATCAGATATTTCTAATAGCACACATTTCAAAGGAAAATGATGACACTGCGAAGCACAGACATAAGGCGCTCTCAGAACCTTTTGAGGCGAGGGGGTTACATGTTAACAGAACGTTTTACATGTTCGCAAGCTTTCTCTGAGGTTCTTGGGGGACAGGAGAGGAATGATGTGCCATGAAGGCTGTAAAGGATGGACGGTACCATGGGTGGCAGGTTTGTGCACGTGAAATCAAATAACAAAAACAGTTTAAAAGGTACCAGAGCATGGAACCAAACTATGTCTTTAAAGCCTGTTTGAGGTATATGGAGTCAATACAAGAATTAACAATATCCCTTTATTTGCTCTTAAAGCAGTTTATCAAGCTAGTAAAGTCCTCAGCTGACGCAGCCAGTCTTGGCAACAGCAGACTCAATCACAACGTCAGAATCTCGCTATACGCAGAAGTGGTAACTTATACAAAGTGGGAAAGCTCAATTTGTAATTTTTGAAGAGTTAAGCTAGAGGAGCTTATCTTGTAGGAGATAAAGCAGCGATTATGCTTGTACTCACAGGGTTTGCAGATGTCCTACTGGAACCGAGACAGTTTTCCACTATGGGAACGTTGTCACAGAGAGGATTTTTAGGACATTTTAAAGGTTTACCAAAAGAAAACTTATGATCACATCAAACTGGCAATATTTTATTTGCCTCTTTGACTGCTTTGGTATAAAAATCAGGACTCTGAACGTGCTTCTATAATTTAAATAGTTTGATATGGTTGATCATTCTGGTAGTAGTGAGATTTCCCCTCCATTTTTAAGTAAAGATAAACATTTTCAAATATGAAAATTAGGGGAATTTAATTTTAGCAAATTTATTTTTAAGCTTTTAAAAATATAAGTGGTAGAAACTGATAGTTTATATAATCAGTTTTATTGGGGGGAAAACAGGCCATCTTAAATGATTACTTCCACAGGCTATGTTGATAGGAAAATAAAATTACAAAATGCATGTTACAGTATCCAAAAAAGATGGTACTTAGAAAACTAATGTCATGACAGATGACAAATACATACTCATTAAGCTTTAATCACATACAGTTATGTCTGTCGCACAAATCATATTGTTTATCTGGTCTTCACACTAAGGGGTTTGTTTAGATAGAGCTGTTTATGATTTCAGTTGTTAAACTATGATTTTTTATAGCATTTATTCAATGCATCCTGATTTATTTCCAATATGAAAAACTATATTACACTTTGTTCTGAATAAATAAAGCTCACTTTTAGCGGTAAGATATGTTACAGTGGTTTTTCCTGAATAACTAAAACTTCTATTCTGGTAAAGAGGACTTGTAAGTATTTCAAAGTTACCTGGTATGTAGGCTCCTACTGTTAGCATTAAAGCTGCCTTGAGATAGTACTGCGTTTTAAGAACACGTTTTACTTTGACCGTGGGGTTCTACTCAGATGCGGATCCTCCTAACCCAGGCAGTAGGTCTTTTACTCTAAAGCTATTATGGGATTTTTCTCTCCTCCGCTACTGATGATATACAGTGATCTCTCTTGTTCTTTCCTGAAAACCATGATGAGCAGTGACAGTGCTTTCTGCTGGCTAGAGCTAAAACTCAACAAAGTTAACCAGCTCCTCTAAGAATTAAGCATCTTCTCAATAAAGCTGGGGAAAAAAATTAAGCCTGTGACCTAATAAATAGAGATAATAGATCAATCCATCGTAATGGAGGATTTTGGTGACTACTACTAAAGTATCCACATTATAATGATAACAGCGATTTTGTGCATAATATTCTCTGCCATTACTGCACTTAGACAATGCAAAAATCCAGATACAGCAAGATGGCCACATCACTCGACAGTTTTAACTCTTTCATGGAGACACTGCAGGGTATAAATGCGATGTGAGAACTGAGCTGAAACGTGTGCCTCTACCAAACGAATATGGAACGAGATACTAACGCCACTAGCAAAATTGGTGTAAAGTGTTCTGTGTTAATCAAATTAAAAGAATACATGCTTATGAAAATAGACACTTAAAAATTTGGACATCACACAAAAGTAGTTAATGGGATGGATGCCTTACTGTCCATATTACCATGCTTTTAGAAATAGGCCAAGCCAGAGACTCTCTTGGCCTAGGGCAGTGATCCTGCACTTGAGAACCACCTGGGAGCTTTGAAAATGATGCCCAAGCCCCAACCCCAGAGAGACTAATTGGCCCAGGATGTAGCCCTGGACATAGGATTTTTAAATAAACTCCCTAAATCATTCCGGTGGGCAGCCAGGCTTGCAAAGCACGGGGCCCAGGGGCAAGAGGCCTGCGGGAAAAGTCAGATTTGCTTGGGTGAGATACTCAACCAGAGGGCACTCAGCCTCTTAGAAAAATGAAAGGGTGGAATTGCATGTTTTTTAAAGTCCATCCCATGTCCTAAATGCTATCCTGTTTTAAGAGAGACCTTTGTAAAATAGATACACTTTTCATTCTGTTTTCGAAGTTTTAAAATTTTTCTGAAATGTACAATATCTTGGGCTTTCAGATTGAATACAGCAGATTAAATATATGCATTTATCTCCACTCCAGCCACAAACCTCAGTAAAGGAATAAAAAGAAAAGGTATAAATTCATAGTACAAAAACAGGAGAGCAGGTAACAACAGCCAGGTGGTGACAAGGACATTTGAATACTTCAGACCCCTGGGAAAGCTCAGGAATTCCGGAGGTGCGCTATCTCTGAAGGCCGAGGAAAAACTGGTATCAGGGTGGGCAAGTAGAAGTCTCTGCCACAATTTAAAACTGAAAATCAAGAAAGCCGTATTAGCATATTATCAGCTATAAAAGCAAACAGATGAAACTGCTAAGAGTTTAAAATGATGGTTCCTGGGAAACGGGAATCAGGGATGAGGAAGGACAAGTCAGGGGTCTGTTGTTCTGAAAGCCTTGTGTCATTTAACTTCTAAAATTAAGTATATACATCATTTAGATTTAAAAAAAAAATTTAATGTACTTTTGAGTAGGGTATGGGAGAAAAGATGCAAATACTGTAAATGGGAATGTAAAATTGTAGAATCTTTCCTAATGGCAGTTGGGGGATACGTATCAAAGTGTTAAATGTGCAGAACATTTAGTCCGGCATTTCCACTCATGGAACTTATTCTAAGGAATTGGACAGGGGCTGGCCCCATGGCCAAGTGGTTGAGTTTGCGCGCTCCGCTGTGGCAGCCCAGGGTTTCACCAGTTCGGATCCTGGGTGCGGACATGGCACCGCTTCTCAGGCCACGTTGAGGCGGCGTCCCACATGCCACAACTAGAAGGGCCTGCAACTAAGATATACAACTATGTACCGGGGGGATTTGGGGAGATAAAGCAGGAAAAAAAAAAACGTTGATGAGCTTGTGAAAGGGAACGTTGATATACTGCTGGTGAGAGCATACACTGATAGGATCTCTTTGGAAAAAAGCACAAATTGTCATTACTTAATTGAAAAGTTGAATATGCACTTCTCTTTGACCAGCAATTCCTCTCCTAGGGAGTATAAAATGATATAACTACTTATGAGGGAAATTACCATTACTTAGTAAAATGGAAGATACATGGAAGGATATACCCACGTGCAACTAGGTGACACGTGCAAGAACATCTATAATAGTATTCTAATGGCCCCAGACTGCACACAACCCAAATGTCCATCACACAGAATGAAAATATAATTATGTGATATGTTGTGAGTGAATCTATGAATCTCACAAATATAAATGTTGAGCAAAAAAAAAAAAAAAAAAAAAAAAAACCAAGACCCAGAAGAACAGAATAGCTCCAACCTGGACTTAAGAGAACAACAGCAAAAAGAAAAAAAACAGAACAGGAAATCACAGCTACCCAAAGGTCTACTATTACACACAAATACTAGCCTTGCACACACAAGGCCTTAAAAAATTCAATCAAGGCTCATTTGTTTCTCTCCACGGAAATCTTTAGTAAAAGGCGAAAGATTTATGCGTTTTGAAGAGAAAGGTGAGTACAGTAATACTCTTGGAGAGACAATTGCCAGGGAACTGCCACTCCTGGTACACTGAGGGTGAAGTTCAGCCCGACTTGAGAGCCTGCAGCAGCTCTTTCAGTTAATTGGGTAAAGAACAGTCTCATTCTTTGAAATAATAGGTTTAAAGGAAACCTACAGCTTTTAACTTGAAAATATATTGCATGCAGTGCACTATGGTTATGCAAATGAAAGCTGAGTCATCACCCGGGAGATTCACACCGTAGCTGCCAAGTTCATCTGAAGCCTGCTTGGCAGGCAAAGGACCCGTCCCCAGTCTACCCGGGCCCCTGATTCCATCTGTTTTGTTCATTGAGGCTCTGAGTGTGAATTTTGGGGGATAAAGGATTTTGTTGATCGCTTAAGAAAATGATGTCAGAGCTCTGTATATGACATGAGAGAGGGTTCACACTATAACGTTAAATGAAATATAAAAGGCAAATTACAAATATCTATTTAATTTGATAGTTGAGGCTCTAAACCAGGGATCAGTCAAGTATCCTTATGAACTGAGGGGTTTAAATATATTCAATATGTGTCAATTCATTGCTCTTTTTATCTTTATTGATGTTTAAATTGTCCTATCTTAGGCCAATAAGAGCTTCTTCAAGTAGGCCCTTGAGTCTTTTTGACTCAACCCTCGTAGTCTTTGATAGTTTCATTGCTTGTCAGCATCCACACACACACACACACACACATACACAAGATGACAAGATGTCCCGTACTCATCTTTCATATTTCTGCCCGAGACCTGGAATCAGGCATTTCTCCAAGGAGTCCTGGTTCTTTCAATGGGACAAAGTCTTTATTCTTCAAGAATTGTCTTGGCTATTCTTTGCCCTTTGCTTACTGTATTCAGGATATAGAAGGAGTTTTGAAGAAGAGTCAATGACATGAACAGTTGATGAGGGAAAATTCTTCTTTATAAAAGAATTCCAGCTAATAAATACAAAAAGTACCATTTTGCAAGGCAAAATGAGGTAAAGATCTAGTCAATAATCACGAATGATGCTAGAACCATTAGGAGAAAGGTTGATGAGAAACCTTATAATGAACTTAAAACAAAACAAAAACTCTAATATCTTGAATGACATATTAGAAAGTATTGCATCCATGAAAAAAATAACAGTATGCTATAGAAAAAGAACTTATTCAGAGAACAAGAAATAGATCTAGGGAATTAAATTATGATTGCATAATTCAAAACTTCATTTGAAGACAAAGTTGAGATCGTCTTCTAGAAAGTAGAGCAAAATAGGATGTAGAAAAATAGGAGAGAAAAGATAAAAATTAGGAGATCATTCCAGAAGGTACAATATCTAGCTAAAGGAAGTCCAGAAAGAGAAAACAAAATGGAGAGGAGAAAATTATGAAAGAATTAAGGAAACTTTTCCAGCACGCACACGCACACTCATGCACACACTTCCCCATCACCATCCTCCTGATATAGTTATGTTTTAATTTTGTTAATTTAATCTTTTTTACATTATTTCCATGTGAATATTATTCACAACCTAGGCATATAGTGTCCTATGAATACAGTACTTTTCTTGTTCAACTTCTTTTGTCTCTGAGTTAATAACCACCTTGTGTTTTGTTTTTGTTTTTTTGCTGAGGAAGATTCTCCCTGACCTAACATCTGTGCCACAATCTTCCTCTATTTTGTATGTGGGATGCTGTCACAGCATGGGTGATGAGTGATGTAGGTCCGCACCTGGGGTCGGAACCTGCGAACCTGGGCTGCCAAAGTGCAGCATGCTGAACTTAACCTCTATGCCATGGGGCCAGTCCCTCACCTCATGTTTTTATTTGCTTGATTTCTTATACATCTATTACCCAATTCTTTTTCAGAGTCTCTGCTAGAAATCTTGCTCTCCTCTCAATACATTCCAACAGCTCAGATAATTTAGTCATTTTATCTACTTCTTCCAGGAATCCTATGCCCTCCTGCTCCAATCTGGTCGTTTGCTCTCTCCAGCCAGGGTCTCCCTTCTCCTTTTTCCTGTTGGGTCCCTTTTCTTGGTTTTCATATTTCTCTCTTTTCTAGGTTACCCTTTTGTATGTCACCCAAAGTTAAGTTATACTGTGGTAACAAATGACCCCAACACCTCACTGGCCTCCAGCAACAAACATTTCTCATGTATGTTATGTGTCCCTCACAGTTGGCTATAGCTCTGCGCTTCCTCCTATCCCCAGGACCCAGGGGATGGAGCAGTCCCTGTCTGGGACATCAGTCTCAAGCCAGAGAAGTGACTGTAGCTAACCAGAGATGACCCTTAACCTTCTGCTCAGAAGTGACACATGTCTCTTTTGCTCACATTCCAATGGCCAAAACAGGGTCACATAGCCACTCTTGAGTTCATTCCATATCTATACTTTGGCTGGGTATAAAATTCTTGATTGGAAAAAATTTTTCTTTGAGAATTTTGAAGGCATTGCTGTATTGCCTTCTAGCTTTTAGTGTTGTTGTTGGGAAACCAATGCAATTTTGATTCTTGAATCTTGATATGTGACCTTTTTTCTCAGGAAGCTTTTAGGATTCTCTTTTTGTCCCTGTGGTGTGGTGTGGGAGGGCGGGTGAAAAGCATCAGACCCTCTTCTTCCCTAGAAGCAAATCTATATATAATATCTTTCTATGATTTAGGAATAAGTTTCATGGCATGTGACAGAAAATCCAAATTTATAGTGATCTAAATTGGATGCTTATTTCTGTTTCACATCAACAAAGTCCAGAGGAAGGTAAGCAGGGCTGACCAGTGTGCCTCAAGAAGCAATTAGAAACTGCTCCTTCCAATCCTCGGCTCCCTAGAGGGGTTATTTATCTGCCTTCCCAGCATTTGGATGGAGGAAGGGGACAAGAGGCAATGGCGCCATCTGCTATCCTGTAAGAAGGAACCAGCCACACTACATTTCCACCCCAATCACTTGGCCAGGACTTTATCACTTGGCCATTCCAGCTCCAAGGGATGCTGGGAAATAAAGTCTTATTCTCGATGTCCATGTGCCCAACTATTAATTTGGAGGGGGGGAGTATTACTAAGGATGAGGGAAGAATTGATCTCAGAGTAGGCAGCTGGAAGTCTCTACCATGATCTAAAAGTAAAAATCACAAAACAGCTTTTAAAAAGAAGCTTGTTGGTGGGGGCCGGCAGTGGCATAGTGGTTAAGTTCGCATGCTAGAATTCAGCGGCCTGGGGTTTGCAGGCTGGATCCTGGGCACAGACCTACACACCACTCATCAAGCCACACTGAGGAAGCATCTCACATACAAAAAAAGGAGCGGAAGATTGGCACAGATGTTAGCTCAGGGACAATCTTCCTCACCAAAAAAAACACCCCTTATTAGCACAAAATATAGCTGCAAGTAAGGAAGACTGTTTAAAAAGATGAAAATGGTGGCCTCCAAGTAGTGGCAGTTGAGGGATGAGGATGTGTGAAGCAGGAGACTGCTGACTTTTTTTAACCTTTTTTTTGGAAAACAAAAGTAGAATATACAAGTAGCTATAAAAATGTGTAGCTTAATAAAGTATTTTAAAGCAAACACCCTGGTAACCACAATGCAAGTCAAGAAAGAACTTTGCCAGCTACCACCAGAATCCTCTCTGAGGGCCCCAACTCCATCTCTGCTCCCTCCCTCCCTCCTCCCTGGAAGACAATCTGACTTCTTTTTTTTCGGTTGTTCTTGCTTGAGGAAGATTGTCCCTGAACTAACAGCCGTGCCAATCTTCCTCTATTTTGCATGTGGGATGCCGCCACAGTGTGGCTTGATGAGCAATGTGTAGGTCCAGGCCAGGGACCCGAACCCATGATCCCGGGGCCACCGAAGCGGAGCATGCAAACTTAACCGCTTTACCACCGGACCTACCCCAATCTGACTTCTACAGTCATCATGTCCTCCTTTCTTGATGGTTCACCCAAATGTGCATCCCTAGGCACTATAGTTTGGTCCTGAGTCCTGCCCATTTTTGTAAATGTCTTTTGAGTTGTTTTTATCTGCAGTTTCCCTTCCATCCCTTTATTTTCTTTATGATTTATCTACAGAAGAACCCTGAGCCTTTGACTCCCACAGCTTCCCACAGCCTGGATGTTGCTGATTGCAAACACTAGGTGAAGCTCCAGTAGTAACTGCGCCCTTGGTGTTTCCTGCAAGCTGGCAGCTGGATGCCGAGGCTTGATCCCACTGAGCTTTGATCACTTTGACACAAGCATAGGTGGTCCACAAATCAGAGACGTAAAATGGCTGCTAGTTTCTCCTGGTGGACCTTGGGAGCCGTTGATACTCAGTGCCTAGTTCATTCATTCACTAGAGGTTGCAAAATCATGATAGTCTACTTCTAAGTGGTTAAAATGGCAAGTTTGATGTTATATATATTTGACCATAATAAAAAATGCATGCCCGTTGGTGTATATAGGAAACAAAACTGGAAGGCTGTACAGTAAAGTGTTAATAATGGCTCTGTCTTGGTGACAAGATTATAGGGGATCATTTTTGACTATATCTGTCTGAAAGTTTTTCACTTTGTATATATTACTTTTATAATATAAAACATCAATAAGACGATTTCATTATAGACTAAAACAAATAGAAGAAAATAAAAACTATAGCAGAAATGAATGAATGAATATAAACCGAGATTAGGCTCAATGAAACAAAAATATTCATCAAGAAAGAAAAGAGAAAGCTTAATAATATTAGGAATGATAAAGTGTTACAGTCACAGCTAGCTGCCTTTTCAACATGAATGGTACTTCAAAAAATTTGTATATATATATGTATATAACATGATGCTAAGTGAAAGAAGTCTGATACGAAAGGTCACATATTGTATGATTGCATTTATATGAAAGATTCAGAATAGGCAAATCTGTAGAGGCAGAACAAAGATTTGGTAGCTGGGAGAGGGCAGGAATGGGGAGGAATTGCTTAATGGGTACAGGGTTTTATTTGGAATGACAGAAATATTTTGGCAATATATAGAGGTG